CCTATACCTTATTTTTTCATCATCATTATTATTTTTGAGATGGAGTTTCATTCTGTGGCCAGGGCTGGAGGCCAGTGGCATGATTTTGGCTCACTGCAACCTCTGCCTCCTGGGTTCAAGCATTGCTTGTGCCTCAGCCTCCCGAGTAGCTGGGATTGCAGGCGTGCACCACCACACCCAGCTCTGGCCCCGAAGTTGCTTTGAACGGAAGTGGAAGAGTTGCTCTGTCTGGATGCATTCCATTTCAGACGTTTCATCAGACGCCCTACAGGAGATGTCAGGTAGGAATGTGGAGGTTGGAGATGTAAAGGTGTGAGTTCTGCCCCTTTTCAGCAGCAAGTAGCTAGAAAGAGTCGTCGTCCAACACCGTCTAGCAGCAGTTAGGGTTACCACTTCTGAGGGGGAAAATGATATAGGGGTGAAGAAGAAATTACTTAGGCAGACAGTGAAGGTATGGGAGTCCTCAGTAAAGTTTTCCTTTTTAATGAAAAGCAGCCCTAAAATCATTTCCTGACAAAGAGCAGCTGCAGAAATCAAGCTGCAGACATAGACAAGCAAGCTGGATGCTTGCACTGGTGAATGCCGGCAGGAAAAAAGCTACCTGGGACTACGTATGTCCACAATGGTGGCTCCACCCTCCCTTCTCTTTGCCAGCACATGTACAGTAAGAAGACAAGATGGTACCAGTCAAGTGGAAAACCCATTTGCATATTAAGATTAGGATAGGGTGGCCGGTCTTCCCTGTGCGCTGTGTAAATGTCACATCTGACTGAACCAATCTGTGGACCCTATGTAACTCAGACACCACCTTCTCAAGCCTGCTGATAAAATCCAGGAAACCCCATCACTGGCCAGTCTTTCCTTTTGGAAGCCCGTCTGTCTCACTAGAGAGAGAGCTGTTCTCCTTTCTCTTTCTTCTTTCTATTAAACTTTCTGCTCCTTAGCCCACAAAAAAAAAAAAAAAAAAAAAAAAAAAAAGGTGGGAGTTCTGAGACAGGAAAAGGGTATTCAATATGAACTTTGGATGACAACCATGTGTCAGTGTAGGTTCCTCGATTGTATAACTGTACCTCTTTGGTGTGGGAGGTGGTATGCTGTGAGGCTATGTGTGTTTGGGGCAGGAGGCATGTGGAACTCTACTTTCTGTTCAGTTTTGCTGTGAACCTAAAATTGCTCTAAATATAAAATTTGCTTCTGCTGGGCGTGGTGGCTCATGCCTGTAATCCCAGCACTTTGGGAGGCCAAGGTGGATGGATCATGAGGTTAGGAGTTCGAGACTAGCCTGGCCAACGTGGTGAAACTCTGTTTCTACTAAAATACCAAAAATTAGCTGGGCATAATGGCTCATGCCTGTAGTCCCAGTTACTAGAGAGGCTGAGGCAGTGGAATCACTTGAACCTGGGAGACAGAGATTGTGCCACTGCACTCCAGCTTGGTGATAGAGAGAGACTCCATCTCAAAAATAAAATAAGATAAAATATACGTTTTCTTTTTTGAGACAGAGTCTCGTTCTCTTGCCTAGACTAGAGTGCAGTGGTGCAGTCTTGGCTCACTGCAACCTCTGCTTCCCGGGTTCAAGCAATTCTTCTGCCTCAGCCTCCCGAGTAGCTGGGACTACAGGTGCATTCCACCATGCCCAGCTAATTTTTGTATTTTTAGTAGAGATGGGGTTTCAGCTTGTTGGCCAAGATGGTCTCGATCTCTTGACCTTGTGATCCACCTGCCTCGGCCTCCCAAAGTGTTGGGATTACAGGTGTGGGCCACCACGCCCAGCAAATAAAATATACTTTAAAAAAATAGTATTAAAAAAACTAGCCAGCTAGGTGCAGTGGTTCATGCCTGTAATTCCAGCACTTTGGGAGGCTGAGGCAGGCAGATCACCTGACGTCGGGAGTTCGAGACCAGCCTGTCTGACATGGAGAAACCCCATCTCTACTAAAAAATATAAAATTAGCTGTGCATGGTGGTGCATGCCTGTAATCCCAGCTACTCGGGAGGCTGAGGTAGGAGAATCACTTGAACCTGGGAGGTAGAGGTTGCTGTGAACTGAGATTAGTACTTAGGTCTCTTAACTTCAAGTTGGGCACATGTTAATTTTACTATACCTTGTCTGCCTCAATTGGCCTAGAACAGTCTTGTTATATAAATTCTGGTTATGAGAGGCTCTAAAATGTATTCACAGCTTACCAATTTTTTAAAGTTCTGGTGAACGCCAAAGCCAGTAATCCTTCTGGAATCGTGTGTTATCAGAAGATATCTGAGCTCCTGCTTCTTGCCTGATGTGAACCTCCTTCAGCCAAAGGTGAGACTAGCAGGGAAAGAAAGGGACTAAACTCTCATCCTCTCTTCCCCAAATTTGTTACCGCAGTTTGTTTGTCAAGGTTTAACTTAGGAGGCTAAAGATGGAGGATCACTTGAGAGCTCAGAAGTTAGAAATCAGCCTTGGCAACATAGTGAGAACCTTGTCTGAAAAAAAAAAAAGTTTCAGAAAGTGCGTGCTGGACTTACAAGAGAAATACTATTTGGATGGTAAGTACCTTCAATCCAATACAAACCACCGTTGGAACTTAATCTTGAGTGTGTGTGTGTGTGTGTGTGTGTGTGTGTGTGTGTGTGTTTGCTAAGTTTTAGGAGTTAGGAGGCTTTATACTTTTATACTTGATCTTTTGCACAGTACACTTTGAAAACTGGCTTTTGAATCTTTAGACACTTAAAACAGGTATTTATAGTAATTTAATGAGGACAATCTTTCGATGTCCCAAACAAAAAATTTAAACTGTGTATATTAAACCTTAACTATGCATCTTTTTTTTTTTTTTTTTTTTTTTTTTTTTTTTTTTTTTTTTTTTTTGAGATGGAGTTTCACTCTTGTTGCCCAGGCTGGAGTGCACTGGCAAGTGATCTCGGCTCACTGCAACATCCACCTCCCGGGATGAAGTGATTCTCCTGCCTCAGCCCCCCAAGCAGCTGGGATCATGGGTGCACACCACCATGCCCAGCTAATTTTTATATTTTTAGTAGAGATGCGGTTTCATCATGTTAGCCAGGCTGGTCTTGAACTCCTGGCCTCGGTCTCCCAAAGTGCTGGGATTACAGGCGTGAGCCACAGCACCTGGCCTTAACCATGCATCTTAATTTTTGTACTTCCTATCCAATGTGCTAACAGGACAGAAAAAATGACTTAAGGCTGTTATAGTTTCCTTTTATTTAAGAGAGGCTGAGGTTCTTAGCTCAGGAGAGATTCATAGCATGTCTTAAACCACATCAGTGTTTTTCAGGACACGCTAGGATGGACTTGGCAACTAGCATAACATTGCACTGCTGTGCCTAACTTTTACCCCCGAGTGCCAGTGCGCTTATTTCCTGTGCTAGGATTACTTGTAATTTGGTCTGGGGAAGTTTTCTGGGTGGGTGCGCTGCACAAATTCCCTTGTTATTGTTATGAGCATGCAGTGACCTCACTTGGATCCAGGACTCTGCCAGCATTTAAAATCCTGCTCTCTTGCCTAAATTTAAGTATCACAGCTTGATCCCATTACAATGAGGTGGAAGCCAGCAACAGAAGTTTTAAAATCAGAACTCACCCCGCTGGGTGTAACCCTGTTCCCGGCCACCGGTACCCTTCAGGAGCCTGGAAATCCTCTTTTGGCAGCAGAGGGGGAGAGTGCTTGGAAATGCTCCGAGGAAAACGACTTTTAGAGGGGAATAGTGGGGAGCGAAGCAAGAGGCAGCCACCGGACACACTTGGCGTGGAACTGGGGCTGTGGGGTGGGTAGAGGGACAGTGAGCAGAACTGGTAGCTCAGAATAGAAGATACAAAAGAAAGTGCCAACTAGTGAAAGAACTGCAAAAGGACGGGGGGATGGGGGGAGGGCAACTAAGGAACAGTGTAGAAAAATAGCAATTAGTACAGCTAAAAATAAAGACCAATTTAGAGACAAAGCCAGATCCACAAGAAGAAAAATAAAACTCGCCAGAAAGACAATTTCTTGCAAACCAAATGTTCAAGAAAATGGGGGCTAATGGCACCCCCGCTGGAGCTGCTCTGCAGAAGAAATGAAATAATAGGAGACCGTGGAGCGCGCAGCGCCCAGCAGGTGACGCCGTGGGGGCCCCAGTGGTTCCGCTTGTGGAGCCCGAAGGCCCTGCCGGAGACTGTGCCCACGTGTCCCCAAAGTTACAGAAGTGTCCGGAGCGCGCGATGTGCGGGACAGGGCACCGCCGGGGCTGGAACCGGGTGGTGGTGGTGGTGGTGGTGGGGTTCCTGCAGAAATCTCTCAGGTCTCCCAGAGTCCTGGCGCGCGCGCGGCACTGCCGGCGAGAGGGCGCCCACCCGCGGCGGCTCGGCTAGCTCAGCGCACGGGCCCTGGGGACGCCCCACCCTCATTCGCTGGGCTGGAAGGCGCAGCGCTCACGAAGTCGGGGAGCAGCCAGGCCCCGGCAGGCGGGGATCCTGAGGTCGAGAGGCAAAGGCCATGGGCCAGGCCACGCTCGGACTCTGCAGGACCGCGAGGCCTCGGCTTCCCCGCCTGTGACCCGGGAGAGGACCCCGCCTGCCACCCCCGAAGTCGCGCTGAGAGCCCCTAAGCTCGGTGAGCCAGCGGCGCCGTGCCCGTTTCTCCCGGGCTGTAGAAGGCGGGAGACAGCGATGGGCGCGGGAGCTCGAAGCTGGGCGGGGCGGCCGGGGCTGCATCTCAGGCGAGGGCCAGCGACCCCGGGACGCGCTAACCGCCTCGGCTGGGCTACTAAGGTCCGGGCGGCTCGGGCTCCCTCTGGGCCATTGCACCCCATCCCTGGCGCAGGGCGGACTCCGGGCCATCAGGGGTCACCCGGGGTCGTCCTGCTCCGCCCGGGCACCCCGGGGCGGAACCCCGAGCCCCCACCAGCGGGGGCGGGCAGGGCGCTTCAGGAGCGCGCCACGCGGCGTCTGACTGGGAGGAGGGCGGCGGGCGGAGGCCGAGCGCTCTGGGGCGGTGCTGAGCCCGCTCCTCCTCCTCGCCCTCCTCCTCCTCCTCGCCTTCCTCCCGCTCTGCCGCCGCGCCGCCGGGCTGCTCCAGCTTCCTCCCCGGGCGCCCGCTGCGATGTTCAACCGCGCCGTGAGCCGGCTGAGCAGGAAGCGGCCGCCGTCAGGTAAGCGGCTCCGGGGACCCGCGGGCTGGCGGTCGCGGCGCCGTGTCGCCTGCCCGGCCTCCTGCCCGCCCTCCTGGGCTCGGGCGCGGCTCTGCTGTACCTCCCAGATGGGAGCCCCGGCCCATCGCCCCACTTCTCTCCGTTCTGTCCCGCACCTCCGCGGTCCCAGCCGCGACGGGAGCGCAGAGCTCCTCCCGAGCGCCCCGGGGAGGAAGTTTGGTTGAAAGGGGGAACAGCAGCAGTTTTCTTTTTAGCGATGGTCTGGGAGAAAAAGGAGCCCCGAAACATCCCCAAACTTTGGAAGCGGCAAGGGCTCCAGATTCCGAAAGCAGAATGGCTCGCGGGCTTCCCCCTCCGTGGCGCTCTCCGCCTCCGCTGCGGGCGTGGGTGGAAGGATGCCCGAGCGCCCGGGGAGCACGGCTGGACCTGGGCATCCGACTGGGCGACAGGGCCTGGGACGCCGGGGGCTTCGCTTCTGCCGCGAGGAGCCGAAAGGTGGGGTCGTGAGGGTGGCAGAAACCCAAGATGGGGAAGGGCACCTGTGCGGTCCGTGCCAGCGAAGTTCGGACGTTACAAAGGATTCGCCTTTGCTGTCACTCCGAGCCAGCCTGAGCCACGATCTAGGGCAACTTGATAGGACAAAGGCCCCACGGTGAAGGTGAAGTTATGCCCTTGATTCCGGTCCTCCTACTCTTTTTGCTCATCACAATAGCTATGACCTGTGCAGGTATTCGGGTGCGCCAAGGGCCTTGTCCACCGCGTTCGGTGAACTCTCCCTTCATCCCTAGGACAACCCGGTGAGCAAGGAGGGAGCGGAAGCCAGGCGCTGTTAGGTGACTTGCCCCAGTCACACCCAGCAGGTGATGGGGAGGCCTTCAAACCCAGGTTCGCCTGCCGCTGGAGTTCAGAGGCTTTCCCGGGCTTCCTACGCCAAGATTCACTTCTGTTTGGTGCTCAGAGTTTATACGCGTTGGTGCATTTCCTTTCTGCTCCTGATATTTTATGAGGGACATTGTGGACTGGGACCAGACTGGCTGGATCCGAATCTCACCTTAACCATATTCACCAGCCGTGGGACCTCTCTGCAGAATGAGGGTCTGCAAAATGGGCACAACAGTAGCTACCCTCCTTTTCAGCACGTAAGTGGAGCCTGTCTCCCATCCATCAAGTTTTGCAAATAATTGCACTTAGTATGTAGGATTTCATAGGGTTGTTGTAATTATCTTACATTGTTGTCCCGCACGTACTAAGTGCTCCATTAGAGTTAGTGGTCATATAAAACTTTTTGTGCTGTGTGTGAGTCAAATAATTCCCTTGTGGGTGTTAATGTTAACCATTCTCAATGGTTGGCATAGGCCTGTGGAGCCTGCTCAGAGCCTGGACTCGAATTAAACTCTTGGTTCTAACCTTGACTCTGTCATTCAGCAACACTGGGCAAATTACTTGATCTCTCTGGGCCTCCGTTTCAATGATGTGCTGGAGCTGGCTCAAACTGGCTTGCAAAAGCTAGTTGCTAAATATTCAAGAAGTCTGGGAACTGGTTGTTAAACCATAGGTAGCTTGAAAGCAGTTATGATGGGATAGTTACATCATGAAAATCAACAAATGCTAAAAAAGAAGGCTTCCTCTTGACTCAGGAGAGCTGATGTACCAGCATACCTCTGAATCACTTTCTCCATCTGCAAAGTGGGTTTCATAGAGTTATGGGATTAAATACACAAAACCATATGAAACCCCTAGTACAATGCGTGGCACATAATAGATGTTTAATAATTATTAGCTTTTCTCCCTTTTGCCTGTTATAAATAGAGCTGCTATGAATAGCCCTGTACATGTTACTTGTTACTTTGACAAACAGAACCGTTGATTCCTGGGAGATAAATGGATTTAGGGTGATTTTGCATGTAGCCAGGTTGTACCCCAAAAAGACTGAAGGCAGTTTTAGGGAATAAATTGTTTCAGGGCAACAAAATTTTAAGCCTAATAAAACGTGGTTATATCACTTATAAAAAGGTCAGTCTCAGGCCGACCGCAGTGGCTCACACCTGTGATCCCAGCATTTTGGGAGGCTGAGGCAGGAGAATTGCTTGAGCTCAGGAGTTCCAGATAAAACTGGAAAACATGACGAAACCCCATCTCTACAAAATATACAAAAAATATTCAGGCATGATGGTGCGTGCCTGTAATCCCAGCTCCTTAGAAGGCTGAGGAGGATGACTTGAACCTGGGAGGTTGAGGCTGCAGTGAGCTTAGATCATGCAGCTGCACTCCAGTCTGGGTGACAGAGTGAGACTCTGTCTCAAAACAAACAAAAAAAGGAAAGAAAGAAAGATCAGCCACTAAACATCATGGTTGGGTACTGGATGCCTCAACTCCAATAGCCTGATTTTCTTTGGAATTGTAGGTGTAAGGTTTGCCCCCATTATGGGAAATAACCTGAGTTCTTGCCTGATTGGTCATCACCACCTAGCCATCGAAAAGCAGCGTAATGAGAAAGGGGTTATTTTAGCCAGGCACAGTGGCTCATGCCTGTAATCCTAGCACTTTGGGAGGCTGACGCAGATGCATCACCTGAAGTCAGGAGTTCAAGACCAGCCTGGCCAACATGGTGAAACCCTGTCTCTACTAAAATACAATAGTTAGCCGGGCATGATGGCAGGTGCCTGTAATTCCAGCTACTCAGGAGGCTCAGATGGGAGAATTGCTTGAATCTGGGAGATGATGGTTGCAGTGGGCTGAGATCGCGGCATTGCACTCCAGCCTGGACTGCTGAGCGAGACTCTGTCTTAAAAAAAAAAAAAATGAAAAAAAAAAAATGAAAGAAAGGGGTCATTTGGGCCTGGGGACAGAGGTACTAAGTCAAAAAGCCAGCCAAGTGATCCTTGGGATCCTGTACTGATTTTTTTTTTTTTTTTTTTTTGGTAATTTTGAGTTATTTTTTTCTTTTCTTTCCCTGCCCCCCTTTCTTTCTTTCTTTTTTTGATGGAGAAGTCTAGCTCTGTCACCCAGGCTGGAGTGGAGTGGCATGATGTTGGTTCACTGCAACCTCCACCTCCTGGGTTCAAGCGATTCTCCTTCCTCAGCCTCCCAAGTAGCTGGGATTACAGGTGCCTGCCACCATGCCCAGCTAATTTTTTAACTTTTAGTAGAAACGGGGTTTCACTGTATTGGCCAGGCTGGTCTTGAACTCCTGACCTCAGGATTCGCTCACCTTGGCCTCCCAAAGTGCTGGGATTACAGGCATGAGCTGCTGCCCCAACCTGAATTATTTTTCTTAAAGAGGCTCCTCAAATTCTATAAACTTCAGGCCCCACGAAAGCTGGAGCTGCCCCTGCAGGACCTCTGATTTGAAACTGGCTGTGGCCCTGCCTCCCCTAGCACCTTCTGTTTTACACCTTTCCTACCTTTCAGCAAAATCGCACTGGAGACACTGTCTTTCCGCGAAGGATTTTGAGTTCCTAACCCTCCTTCCAAGATTCAGAGTGGGGTTTCCTCATTCTCCTTCCTGAGGTTTCTCAAAGTGTGTTCTGCCAGTCGTGTGGGTTCAGGAGGGGCTTGATAAAGTGCAGCTTCTCAGGCCTCACTGAGACCCACTGATTATTCTTGGGGACTGTAGATGGGGCAAGAGGGTAGGCTGCATCTTCAACAAGCACCCTGGAGAATTCTCAGGCCAGTGAAATGTGAGGGTCCCCCAAAGGGATTCTGTCCACTCACCCTGCTTAGTTATCAACCTTGAATTGTTAATAACTGGGATATGCCCATCTGAGATGGGAAGCCGAAGCCACCCCACTCCCCACCCCTGCAGCTGCATCCAGGGGTGACCTCTCAGGGGAATTCCCACCCTGCCAGGCAGGCCTCAGCCGTCCCCTCAGGCCTGTCATACAGGATCCCATTAAACCCTTGGGAACAGTTTCAAGTTTATGGCTGGGCTTGTTTTATTTAAAGATGACAGTTTGCATAGCGATTTAATGTCTTTGTTTTAACAACCCTGAAGCAGGGTAGCCTTGGCCGCTGGGGAAACTTTCTCTGCAGAACATCATCTGCCCAGGGCTGCAGGGACAGAGGGGTCAGGCCGAGGGGCATTGTTTTCTACAGGTGTGATCAGCGGTGAGCCAGCTGAGCCTCTGGGACTTGCTCTGGCCACCACCAAGCGCAGCCCATAGCCTGGAGGGTGTGAGGTGCTCACTGTGTTTTATCCACCTTGGCTGATGTGTATTTGATCTGATGTCTCATTTCTTCATGGTTGGAAATGTAGATGTCTAGCCAGATGCTTGGCATGGCCACTTCCTAGGGCTTCCTGGGTGAACGGAGTCACTTCCCTCCCTGGGTTCAGTGAGTCCCTGGACACTGGGCTCTGGGAACCTGCTGCTTAAACTGCACTAAATTTATGCCCCTGAATTTCTTCTGCTTCCCCCAGATAGCTCTCTGCTGCAGCAGCCCTGGGGGTGGTGGAGCAGAGGGGGCCCCCCTGGCAGGCAGCAGTAGTGGTCCCTTGATAAGAGCTGTCAGGCGGCATCCGCTGGAATGAGACAGCCCTTTGCAGACTTGTGGGGACAAACTTCCCTTCCAAGCAAGTTCCCATCTGTCACGGGCCCTGCTAAGCACCCTCAGGTCTACCTTGCTGCCCTGCTGCCTGGTGGGGGGCCCCTTAGCTGACCGAGTCCTTCCCAGTCCCATTTTTCCTGCTCCCTACTCTACCCCTGAAGGGACTGGACAATACCCTCCTGTGCCTTTGCTCCCCCAGCTGTACTTTGTCCTGTCCCAAAGCCTGGGTCTCCCTGCTCCAGCAGCCCCACCCTTATAGGCCCCACTGCCTCCTACCCTCTGCACTTGACAGAGCAGCGAGCCTGAGCAGGAGGGAACCATTTCATTTCTGAGCAGGAGGGAACCATTTCGTCTGGAGAGCTGCAGAGGCCACTAAGGGGCAGGGACTTGTCCGGAGCCACCCATTTCAGAAGGGGCAGACCAGAGAACTCAAGTCCTGGACCCAAGTCCACAGC